ACCTTCTACAGATTCATCTAAGTTCTGATAAATTAAATTCATGTCATTTTTCTGCATCATGCCAAGAGCTGATACTGCTCTTGCATGTTCAGTCTGACTTTCTGAGATGGTGGGAGTCTGAAATGGATCTGCCAGAGTTACTTCATGTGCGAGAAGGGAAGCTGCTTTAGCTAATATCCCACACTCATGTCAGGCCTGGGAATATTTATAATTTCACAGAAGGTGTGAAAACAGTGAACGTGACTATGGTATCAGTATATGTCATGTATAAATACAATTACAGTTTCATATTGTTACATTAAGTATATAGTAAAATGATAAATTTGTTACACTAAGGTGCTGCAATTCCTAAGTGTGATATACATAGTGTGTAAAATCCATATTTGGGGTTAAAATTTATGGCCTCAGAACACTGTATAGTCCTCTAATTTAAAAGTCTATTTTCTCACATACTCCCTACTCCAGCACTGCTAGGTATCTAAAACTGCTGCAAGAATTTGTTTGTTTGACAGATTTGATCATTGAATCCATCTTCAAACCTTTTTATATTTTGTCCTCCACCAGTTTAAACATGAAGCCGTGTGCTCTCCTCCAGCAGCATCTGCAGTTCTTACCTCCTAGCTGCTTTTAACTTCTGTCTTTTGTTCCAAGTCCTCAGGCCAAGCTGACACCTTTTTCAGTGTCCTTTTTCCATGCCTTCTCCTACGTGGATCTTGACTGTAAAATTAACCTGGTTCTTCTTCAGATACTTCTCCAGTGCCTGTGCTTGTATCTGTGTGAGAACACTCACCTGAATTGATCAAGTCTTCAAATTAGAGTTTGGGCGTCTTGTGATGTGCACCCATGCCGCAGAGGGGACTCATGATCAGTCACAGGAGTGCCTCCTGGTGCACACTGTCTTGCCCGTGCGGAGTTCCCTGGGGCTGCGTATGAGCTCCCACAGGTGCTCACGCAGCAGGCTCACACAGCGCTGGCATGGCTGGCTCTGTGCTGCAGTCTCTGCCGTCCTTCTGAGCCCCGAGTGCTTTCCCGACTCCCATCTGTATCGCCTCCCACTGCTGTCTGTCCCTAAACCTGTTTCTTCAACTAAAGATGTCTGTGTTTTGTATGTCTAAGCAATCATAAATAAAGAAAAATAATTCAGTGCCTTCCAGAATTGCATTAGCCTGCCCTGTGATAAAATAACCAAAGATTGCTTCTCTGTCTCAGAGACTTCTCTGCCCCCCTGCCATTTATTCATTCCTGGCCTTGCTTTGAGGATGAAGAATGCATCTTTCTCAGTACTGTGACAGCAACATGGATTTTCATAATATAAGTAATAGTCTTTTTTCTCTGTCTAGAGGCAAACATTATGCTAGTTTAGGAATCTCCCAGAATTATTTTTCAAAGTCAATCTTGTAGTCCTCTTTAAAGCAAAAGCAGTATTCTGTGTTTGTAAAGGGTTCAGCACAGACCTTAATCTTTTCTGGACTCAAATTGTGCCACAGTATAAGGAATAACATCTGCTCTTTGCAGCTAAAATGAAACTAACATCAACTAATGTCATCCATAGTCTTTTGTCTTATAAAGAACTTTATTCTACAAAAGCTCTGGGTTGGCTCTCGGCCTGTGGAAATTAGTCATTCCAGATTGCAGTCCAGTCTGTCCCACTGACTGCCCTTGGGACTGAACTGAGATGCCCAGTGTTGGATTCTACCCCTGGGTCTGCCAAAGTCAGCTGCTCATCCTCATGTCCCAGCCAGCCTCTCCAGAGACAACCGCTAGTCCCATTCCTGCAGCCATTTGTGAACTGGAGAGTCTGTTCACACAATGCAAACGCATGATGGAATCACTCAAGTGCCTCTACAGGGTACTGATCTAGGGAAGAAAATACAACATTGTGTATTGATAACCAAACACAGCCTGGTTGGGTATACTATATTGACTAGATGGAGAGGACCACTTGATTTTCTGAACCCGTTTTTCCTGCCACACCTTTGAAATCAAGATGTGTCCTACCTTATGTTTCCTGACACTGGATGTTCTTACATTTATAAAATGTTTAGAGAACCTTGCATGAAACTTGCAAACCTATAAAATTATTGGAAAATAATTGTTTACTGGGAATAGAACCTTTGTGTTATCACTTTGGTGGTAAATGTACCCACTGGAATCTGCTGTGTAGCAGAGTTTTTTACTGTGTCTTCAAGCAGCCGAAACAATAGCTGAAACAGTTTTGATCTACAGATACTACAAAGACAAATACTATGCTGACTAAAAGTCTCACTGTATTGCCTGTCACAATATGTAAATATCTGTAGTGATACATTAAACTTACAGCCAAAATAGCATGGCTTTTATCGAGTGCTGGCATACTAAAAGATTATTGAGAAGTTAGAGTTAGGATCCAAAATTTAAGATTTTTGCTTAAGATAATGAAGCGATGGAGCTGGGTTCATTTTTGTGGTGTTTTGACACAATCCTGAATCAAGTTCATTTGAGATTTAGGTAGGATGTTGAATGGTACAGACAGATGTACAGTGGTACAGCCTAAATGACTAAATTTATTGTTCTCCAAAATTCCTGAATACTGAAATGTTTTGTGAAAGAATGTAGAAAAATTTAAAATTGTTTTTAGAAAATAAGTGTGAAAATAATTTGCATTGAAGGATATGAATTTAAGGGCATAAAAGATGTAATGAGAGCCTAGGAACCTCTAGAGAACCTTACAAAATAGCTTCCATAAAGTGTAGGGTGCCAAACGATTACTTGACAGTAAACTAGGGGCATTGTTATGAAGCTCAACAGCTCCATCTTTCATTCCCTTCAAATGCAGATCTTCCATAAAGGTGTTTTAGTTGTTTATTTACCCAGAAAGAGAAATTTCTCGGTAACTTATGCCTGACCAAATATACTATCTGAAAGCCAGCTTTAGATCCCTATTTATTGCAGGAGGCTGTTGTCTGCAACTATTTAGAAATTACTACTCACTTGAGAGAGTTCTGCATATAGTAAGATACTCTAGCATCTGGCTGCCATTTGTTTACTTCTCTAGATTATAGACTATTCCTATCCCATGGACATGTCAGCCCCGTGACAGTAAGCAAATGGTAAAGGTAAGGCAATCTAGGTCATTCATGTACTTGAAACTAAAGAGACTAGGCTATACAAGTAGTCATCATTAGCAAGTTGAAGTAAAGAAAACAATTTTTGAAATGCTGTGATCTCTAAGAGTTTAGAAGTGATGTATTGTTTAAGCTTATAATGCAAAACCAGGGTATAAACAATGGATGCAGATGAATATAAATTGATTTGGTGGCAGATGCACATCTGCAGCTGAGACCAAAAAAAGAAGCTGGTAATTCTTCACACTTCAAAAAGGCTATCCAAAAAGACTATTAAGGCATTTGAGAATTTTCACACGGAAGAAAATGTACTACTGTGCCAACATTATGAAGCACTGTTTTATTCATTGAGGACTATTTAACGGTCAGTGCTAGGTAATGGTTGGACTAGATGATCTTCAAGGTCTTTTCCAACCTAGATGATTGTGTGATTCTGTGACCTAAACATGAGGGTCAATACAGACAGAACCCCAAATTTTATTAGAAGAAATCACAGAATATTGTGAGGAACTCCAGAAAGACTAGACTAAGCTACATGAATGAGCATCACCACGGTACCTAGAACTCCAGGTCGACATTTTAGGATGAACAGAGAAGCGGCTCATTTGCTTTTTTAATTTCAACATTAGCTGCAGCAGCTGAGGAGAAATACCTGGTTGTGGCTCACTGTATATTGTAGACAGTTTAATAAACACTTGCACCATTAGCCAAACTGAACAGAAAGTTAGCATGTACAGAAATGGACAATTGTGCTGGAACAATCATAATGCTCTTCTGTGCTTTCTCATGCTGAACACTGTTTCTCATCCCAAACATAATTTGAGAGGCAGAGGAAAAAAAAGTAATGAAAAAAGCTTCCTTTGGATATGAAAAATTTTGGAACAGCTAGTGTTGTATGGAGAAAGTGAAATGGGCGGACTTGTGGTGTCGCTACTTGGAGCACCCCAGGTTTCCCACAAACCCCAGAAGAGACAGGCGTTCTCAGGGAACGAAAAGTTTGCCATTTTAAGACTTTTTACTGTCTTCACAATCTTACTAACATACTTATTCATTACCCTAGTTTTGCATATATTAGAAAGACTCCTTTGTAATATGAACAGTTCTAAAAAACTTCTTGCTGTGTAGCCTGATTAGCATGATAATTGGGCCTCTCCTGTCAAGCAGTTCTAGAGTGGTAGTTTATTCCTGGGCATCAACAGTGTAATGGTATTTAGTTAAATACCCAGTTTAAAAGTTTAGCTTCAGATTTGGATTTTTTTTTTAGAAATAAATGTAACATGTTATTTTAGCTGAGTTTGGATATAAGCCCACCCTGGAACCATACAGGGAAACTGTGCTAGCTGATCAAAGCTTTGAGTAACATTGTATATATATTATGTATGTACAAACATATGAATTCAGAGTTTTGCTGGATTATACACACCTAATATGCACATCCAATCTAGGAGAGCTTTTTTTGTGATATCCTCTTCTATCTGACTGTCTGTATGCCCTTAAATCATTAAGATATTTTTCTTTGAGAGGAAGATTATGGCACAGAGTTTGTAATCTCTTGGACATGGTTTATGAATTATTATTTTTGTTTCCTCAAATATATTCCAGAATGTTACACAGCAAGTATTGCTGTTTGGAAATAGCAGGCTCTTCTTTCATCCTTTTTAAGGGGAGAATACACCAGACTGAACAATGCACATTCAGCTAACGCAGTACTCAGAAAAAAAATATAGAAAATAATTTTTGGAGAATCACGCAGGGAATTGTGTTTGTGCTATAAATGAGGATTTTAAAAATATGTAACATATTTAACTACTGTGAATAATCTGTGCATAGCAGCTGGAATTCTAAAAGCCCCATAATATGTCTATAATCCTAATGTGTTTCTTTGCTGTTTTGCAGGCAGACCAGTAATGATTGTAGTTGAATACATGGAGAATGGATCCCTTGACTCCTTTCTGCGGGTGAGGTGCCATTTTCTGATGACATTTGAATAAGACACCATTCTAGGTTAAGATTTTAAATCATTTATCATAAATTAATTTCTACATAATGTTATTCATGGATTTTTAGTGAAGAATAGAAGCATTTTCCCCAGGGTACATTTCTGAGGTACAGTGATACATTAGAGCATGGCTGAAAAAAAGGGAAGATTTAAACTTAAGAATATAATTGATTTCTTCTACAAAAGTAGTTAGCATATTTAGCAAAATGTATTTCAAATAGTGTTTTTGTGAAGGAAAAGATAAATTGAAGCACAAATGCCTAGCCTTATGGAAGCAGTTCATTTTTCTCCATCACCTTCAAAAATACTTTGTTATGATTTTTTTGGTTGGTGAAGTGTAGAATAGACTCAGTAATTGATTTATAATTATTTATGGTTACTTACATTCAACAGACTGAATTAGAAAACAGTTCATGGGTGAAATGTCCTGGCATTAATTAACCCCCAAAGGTCACTAATAAACATTAAAAGGCTACAGAAAGCATGAATAATATGTTGGCACAATTGTATTTAATTTTTCTTAGAAAAGTAGAAGGAAAGGATGACTCCCATAAGCTAAACTTATCCCAAACTAGTCTCTTTGTTAACAGAACCCCTGGAAATGCTCCAGAGGCCCACTGACATAAGACCCTCTGTGAATAATTTCATTGTTCAAGTGTTTCAAATTTGTCTTAAAAAGTAAATGTCAGCCCTTACTAGCCCACTGCCTTGCCATTGCTATCTTGCAGAATAGTAAAGGTAGACCTGTAGGCAAGGTGGGGGCAGGAGGCAGGAGGACTGTGAGTTTGTGAACTTGTTTGAAAGGGTATCCAAAGTGCAAAGGAAAGGTGTTCAACAAGGAGCTGTGAAAATATTTGCACAAAAATCTAAACTGTGATGATCATTCAAGGATATTTGGTAGCAGGAAGAAGAAACTGCTAAGCAAAAAGAATGAATAAGAAGGATGGAAAAAAAACAGCCAACACTTTAGAAAGAGGACTTATATCGGAGAGTGGGAGAGAAGGTCATACAGAGAGTACATATTTGACAACAGGTCGAGAAAAGAGGTAGCCACAAGAGAAGAGCATCTGGAACAGAGGACACTACCCTGAAAGTACATCAGCACCATTATATTAGATATTTCTGGACATTGTTTCTCCTTTCCTTTTGCTTTTGATTATTCCATAGTATTTTTTCTCTAATATTTCTTCTTGTCCTCTTCACTGACTCTCGCAAAAATCAGGTAGACTGATGCTGATTTGAGTACCTGGGCGTTCCCTGGTCTGTAATATTTCGGCAGTGCCCCAGGAAGACTTGAGTGGGCCTGAAACTCTGCTGTGCACATATGTGTGAGTGTGCAGAATTTCATAGAAGAGAATAAAACCAAATACTGAAATAATTCATGAGAGAGAATTACCTTTCTCGGAATTCCTCTAGTATGATATCTATATTCCAATTATTCTTCACATGCATTTATTTATCAGAACAGTTACTACTTATTAGGATACTTTAATAGAAACTGGCATCAGCAAAATTATGATGTTACTGCAAAGCAATACTTCTTACATTGCATCAGATATATTTGTAGGCAAAACTGCTGGTGGGAAATGTGAGCTAATAATTTCTGCAGCTGGTTTCCATGTATATTATTTTACAGTTTCAATTCATTCTTCAGATACGGTTTATTCTTCTAAAATGTTTTTTAAAAGGCCTTTAGATAATTTTCAGTGTCCTAAAGCACTGTAGATATCTGCATTTCTGTTAATAATTAGCAAAGCAAATGGCTGCATAGTAACCTATTTTAAAAGAAATCCAGCTGCTTCATTAATAATAGTTGCTTCCTGCAGATATAAGTCTACAATTTTGAAAGCTTTTGTGAGGATGCAAAGAAGCAGAGGGTTTATCTTTAGCAATCCTAATGAAAGTTGTTCAGTGAATATAACAGTTATGTGGTGAGATTTGAAAAGGCTTATAAGATAGCCTATCTTTCTTATTATTTAAAGGAATCACTTGTTACAGTGAAAAGTGTTTCTACACAGAGGGGAAAAAAATCCGTTTCTCACCATAAGAAATATTTCCACACAGAACATGCAAAAATTAACCAGCACATGCCTTCAATCTGTCCTTATCCAAAAGCCTGCAAAAATGGGTCAGTTCCAATTCCAAAGTGAGACTCTATGATGAACCATGTGAGGGCATCCCAGAAGAAGACTGCTCATTGAAGACATTTGACATCACCCTCCTCAAAGTCTTGATGGGATATTAGCTTTCACACCAGTATGGGTTGTGCCATGAATCATAACGTCCGAGTAACACTCTCCTTGACCCCTAAACCCTAAAATCTTAATAGCCCTTATTTCCTTGCTTTACAGGCAGGGAAACAGAGCACCAAGATGTTATCTGCGCGGTATGGTGTGCAAAGAGCATGACAGAGTAGAAATGAAATCAGTTCCCCTGAATTCCAGGCCAGCAGCCTACACTCATCCTGTCTCTTATTTAGTACTGTATTTTGGTTGCAGTTATGTCACCAAGTCCCCAAACCAGTGCCTTACTTTCTGCTATTTCTATGAATTAAACAGCAAGCTCAGCTAGATTATGTCTTCCCACCCCCCCAAAATATCCTGTATACTGGTTGATAACTTTGAGCTTTTGGGTAAAAAAATTTGGCATGCATTTGCAATAATAAGATGCTTCAGATATATTCTTAGTGGAAAGGCATCAGCTAATTAGAACCAATTCTCTGAGATGATGGTAATTAATTACAGTGATTGTGCACCATCAGACATCCTAAACTGTTGGAAACGCTTGACACTAAATTTTCCTCAGAAATCCTGCCTTATTTTTGCAATTATATAAAACTCATTTCCATAAAATGAAACTGAGTTATCTTTTCTTCTCATATAAGAATGAGGCATGTAAGTTAATCATCCCCCAAAAGTATACCTGAAATTTGCTGTCAATGAATGGCTATTTGAATGGTCATAAGATACATGTGACTTCATTCTGGTAACACTTGGAGAGATTTCTCTGAAAACGGATGTGAGCTTCCAGCTTAGTGTTTTCTCAGGAACTAGCTGCTCCTCTTTCAGTATTACTCCAACAGCTGCCAGACAGAAGTAATCTGTGCTTGGAAAGAAAGTGTCTAATACTTCAGCTAGGGGATTGAGGAGATCCAGGTATGATTTCCTGTTACCAACTTCACACACAGACTTTGGATGAGACACATTGTCTTTATGTTTCAATCACCTTCCTGTGTCATGGAGATCTTGGCAACCACTTACTCTGCAAGCATGTGAGGAAAATAATAAACACACAAAGAGTTGAAATGGCAGCTGTCTGTATTGATAGAAAGATGTATTTAGTAATTAGATAGGATTGTTGCAGTCAGATATGTTTGCTCAGACATGTTGATACAGACTGTAGAAGAAAGACAATCAAGAGAGATCCTCAATAATAATAATAATAATAATAATAATAATAATAATAATAATAATAATAATAATAATAATAATAATAATTTTTTAAGCCTAAAAGCCAAAAAACCTTTTTAGCAAGCAGTTTGCCAGGTTTGAGATGCCTGTACTCTGAGCATGGCCATGACTAAGTTTATAAACCACATGGGTACTGAACCACTGCTTGGTGATCTTGTAGTCTTCATACATGATATAAATATAATCCCATTTTGCTGAGGAAAAATGGAGATGAGTGCCACATTGCACCCAAGTCCATGCAGCAGTTCAGAGGGTGATACAGTAATATAACACAGGTCTGAAAGCCAGTTTTACTCCTTTACTGTTTGTGCTGGACACCACAACATTTCCCTCAGTCTTGCCTGTTAGATGATTGCAATAATTCCTATAAAAGTCCTTTGCCTGTGGTTGGTCCTTTCACCCTGACACACTCTCCTCCACTTAACCCACTCTCTAAGTAGATGCTTCACAGATTTATGGAGCTATTAAGAGTTAAATCTCATCTACTGTTCTCACATCTCCTTCTAAAGCGTCATTATTGGCTAAAATAATAGGATTTATCATCACATAGACAAGAACCGGGTGATTAGGAGATTAGGTGGCTTGTGTGCTTGGGGGGCTACTGCTTATTGGGTTCAGTTGCACAGAATGACACCTGGACTGCATCTGCTGGCTGTTGTCTGCACTCATCCTCCTCATCCACGTTCAGCATGGGCAGGGATTTAAACCACAGAAGAGGAACGCATCTAGAAGCTGATTTTTAGGGATGTTTGTTTGTAGTTGGTTATGTAGAATCATGTAAAATGAACCAAAAAACTATCACCAGAGTACTTTAACTTCTTTCAGTATTCTTCTGCAGCGGCAGACTATCAGATTACTGTCAGTGTTTTATTCCTGCTAAGTGCCCAAGGTGTGCTAACCAAGAGTCAGCACAGTGAGGCAAGAACCAGGGACACAGCAATATTAAACGCATGAGAACTCATGGTACTGCAGCAGGTTCTGTAGCAGGCCTGATACTAAAATAATCTATCAGCTGTATCCACTGCACAGTATTTGCTCACCCTTCTTTATTAGGAAGGGAACATGCACTCTCCAGGGATCATTGTGGGAAAGAAAGCTCCTCAGAGTTTGCAGCATTTTCCCTAACTGTACCCTAAAGAGATGGATATTTAGGTTTGAAAGATGCTCCAGCCTTGCCCAGTTTTGTGAATCTCTGAGCTGTAGGAGGAAGGGATTCATTTACCTAGGGTAATCACAGGGTCATCTTGCTTTCTTCAGTGTTACTATTTGCAATAGTAATGCTCCTCTTCCCACCTAAGAACTTGTGACTTTCACTTCAGAAAATTAAAATACTTGTAAAAACCCGATTTGTTTACAGGCATGCATAGTAGGTTAAAATGCTGTTAAATGTAGTTCGTTCTTCCAAATAAAGTATTTTCTAAAGATTCTTTAAAAAGTATGCTTAATTGCATTAGAACACTAACTGAAGCAGACTGTACAGCAAATGAAA